TTGCAAGCAGTATTTTCTCCCATGCTTGTATCTCTGGCTGTTAGGCTGTCCCCGTGGCACTGAAATACATCTGCTTCAGTGTCACTTTGSCTGGGCAGTGTGAATTTTGGAGCCATTCCAGGCACAGCATTTGGGGATCTGCTCTGTTTGTGGTTTTTGCACTGATTCCCTTTGCCCAACCTGAACATCTCCAAGTCCTTACGACTTATGAAAAGTTAAGGGCACCTACGATCTCTGGTCATGCAGGTGTTGAGTCAAACACAGCCAGCCAYGGGCTGGGGAGGTAAAACACTGCCTTTCTGGGCAGTGAGGAAAAGGGAGAGTACCAGAAGGCAGGAATGATTTTTATTGAGCTTTGCTTTTCAATGAGATTTGCTTGTCTAGGGGCTTTAGCTGTATGGAGACCTGAACCCTTGATGTACTGGATTTTTCTCTCCCAMTACTGGTGTGTGCAGCCTAAGATCAACTGTGGCACAAGCCTGGCCTCTTTGCAAATGACTTGGCTTTCCCTCCTAAAGCTCTTCAYGTATTTGGGTACCAGTTTTCAAAGCAGAGGGCTGATGCCACCCTTCCTTGGGCTGGGGAGGAAGGAAGAGGGAGATCTTCTCTGGAGCATCACTGCGAAGGCTACTGTTGTGAGAGCATGGGGACCTTATGAAGGGGCACGTATGTCCTTTTGAGGCAGGTGCTACCTCTGAATATTGAGCTCAACATTTCCATACCCCTGTGAGCAAAAGGAGAGCATGRCAGGAACTGCTTGTTCGATATGAAAGTGGCAGTTTCCCCGATCACCSGGTGCCTTTGGACGTCTGCTTTCTTTCAATGTCTCCCTGTCAATGGCTCACACATCCCAGAAAAGCTCAGACGATAATTTCTGAYGGCCGTGGAGCAGCATTTATATTTCCAGTTGCCACCAGTTTGTCTCACTGTAAGCGCCTTGTTTCCCCTGCAGACTGTGTTTGTGTTYATCCTAATCTAAACAGTCCCAGATTACAGATGAAAGCGCCGGGTGGTTCTTTAAGGGATTTGCTACATGCCTTGAAGTTTGGAGTGTGTCCTTGCATGCTCCGCAGAGCACTTCCCCCTCCGCTTGCCTTTCGGCTGGCTTCCCCCGTCGGAGTCTCCATTTTTGTAACGTAAAGACTGTTTTCACCAGCTTGCAGAACTTTCTAATTCCACCTTGTGTTGACTGAAAGCCAAAGGAAACCTGTTACAGTAATTTTTTAATATTTGCCACTTGGAGATGTTGTTTGAGAGCGGGGATTCAAATGGCCCCGCCTGCCTCCTTCGCAGCCAGAGTATGTTCCCKCTGCGCCCTTCAGGAATGCCACCGTGCAGCCGTAATGCATGTCTTCACACTGTGTTTTCCCAAGTCCTGCCAAGCTTTATATACAGCATGAAAGGAGGCATCATTCTGCCAGTTAAACAACTGGGGTGTTTTATTAGCTTTGGCAGACAGTTCCTGTTTTCAAATAGGAAGAGAATTGCCAAGTAACTTGGCCTGGGCGCTCTGCTTCCAGAGGGGCTGCTCTCGTCCAGCTGAATCAAAGCTGCTGCTTTTACCTGCTCCAGCTCTTCCTCCTCGGAGCATCGTTCCATGTACACAAGGCCCTCTCTTCCATGCTGATGTTGTAATCCGGTGTCCTGAACACATCCTCTTCTCACCCTGGCATCCTGCTCAGCGTGAGCAGAGCTGGCCCAGGCAGAGCACAGCTCTGGGCCAGCGGGGCCTTCACCGCTGAGTCCCAGCGATGGGAAGATGAACRCGGGCAATCTTCCCCAAAACCTTCTCTTCCCTGTAAGTGTCTCTGTTACCAGTGCAGGGATGTGTCCGTTTTCACCCCACATACATAGCTGTGACAGCGGGGTCTCCTGTGCTGGGATTAGAGAAGATGGGGAAGGCTAAGGAAGCAGTTTTCCTACAATTGCCATGACTTCACATATTTCCATGCTCCTTTTTATAACTTCCGAGTCTAGTGGCTAGTCAGCTGTAGGAGASGGGTTGCTCTTAGAAACTGAATTTCTATAAGTGTTGTGTAAGTAGTTTGCCAGAGGAAGGAGATGGCCACAGTGGATGGCTCTTCAAACTAGAAGACTCTTCAAGCAGCATGGCCACAGATGGCTCTTCAAACTACAGCGTGGAGATACTACCTAAGGAGTGATATCGTGCACCCAAGCAATGCTTTGACCACAAAGAAAGCTTTATCAGGCCTGCGCTATAGCAGATGTCAGAGAAAACTAGCTGTAGAAGTTTGGTTTTATGCTAAATGAGCTTGCCCTTAGCATTTCCTAACCAAGCTTCTGCAAGCCTTGCACATGAAATTTCCTTGAGAGCATCTGTCAAAGAGAAGGTGACATGATTTTACACAGATCCCGGTCTGAATTGATTCAAAAGGGGTTTATATGTCATTGGAAGCTTTTTGTTTGTTTGTTTAAGATGATTGCAAACCCCTCTAGAGAGTATTAAACTAATGAGGTAAACTGCTGACAAGTTGGATGCTCAAACAATTGACCAGTCAACCAAATGTATCTGAAGATCCATCACATTTCGGAGATGAAACCAGTGATATATGCTTGGGTTGGGTAATTAGGATCGGTTTGCACACTCTAAGTCCCCAMGGTATTACCACTTAGCTTTATTCTGTTGCAGTGAAAGGCGGCTCATGTGAATGCACTGAAAGAGCTTTTGTTTCTCACAGCTTCGCTGAAGGGCAGTACTCTATAAAGCCATGGAAATCAGTGCTCATTAAGTGCATCCAACTCTTTGCGTTGCTTGTAACTGAGCCTTAATATGCATTGCAGCCAAGAGCCTAAACTAAATCCCAGCTCTCGGGAGGTTTTTACCCTAATGCTTGTACTGGGGAGGTGTTCTGAAGGACACTCTCATCCTGCACTATGACCTGCTGCAGGGAAGTACGGGGCAGGAAGGCCTGGATCCAATGGGGCAGCATGGTTCAATGATRCACTGCTCTGCACGTGGCTCATGCTCAGAGCCTGCTAGCACTGCCATTCTGTGTGCAGCTGCCTTCTTTGGGCTCATAGGGCTCCAGATGTGAACGGGGTCTCCTGGTGGACCAGTGGACCAGGATCTCTCCTGGTGGAGTTCCTGTGGTGGGAAGGCTAGGCCAAGGGGCAGAGCRTGTCTCTACATCTTGGTCTGTATGGGATCAGAGACTCTTTCCTCAAGCTGAGTAGGGGAAAGGAAGGAACATTTTGAGGCAGACAGGAGCGTTGTACGCCGGAAAGTTTTCSTTACGGATGTGACAGAAGTGAGGCTTTGCTTATGAATCCCTGGGCATCCTCTGTTGGGTACCTTCACTTGCTGTATTCCCCTGTGGGTGTTGGAGGCAGTCACTGTCCTCCTGCCCTGTTCCCCTGGCATGGTGCTGCATGGGATCCATCGTGGTAAAGATCTTGCTGTGTTGTGGCTTGTGGCTAAAACCACAAGCCTCCTGTGGAYGGACTCTGCAGGCAGGAAGCAGGCTGGGCAGGATGGGCCTCATCCGGAGCCATCTCCCTGCCCCAGGCTGATGACAACAGAGCATGGAGCTCATCCCCTCTCTGCATGTATCTTCACAGCTCACTTTCATTTTGCTGGTGGGTTTGTTCAGTGAGTAGCTGGGAGCTGCTAGTGTAGGGGGTCCCACACTCCCCTAGCATGGGGGTCTTGGGTGGGATTTCTGGAGGTGACCTTCCTTGTGGTGAGTGCAGTGCAGCATAGTGCCCCTGAGCTGGGTGGCTGCAGTGCCTCTGGTGGAGGCCGTGTCCTGGAGCTCAGTGCAGATTTGCCAACAAGGAGATCACTTGGGCACTTGCTCCTCCCAGGGTCCTTGTGGTTGTAGCCAGCATTACCCTTGTCCTATCTGACAAGCTGGGAAAGCCTTTGCAGCCCGCAGGTTTGTCACCTGGCCTGCTCTGTGCTTTGCTCTTACTTGGTGGTGGCTGTTTTCTTCCAGGAGCAAGTGCTTTAGCTGTGGAAATGGCCTCTGGCCCTGCTCTGTCACACAGATGTTTCACCTGAGCGTCTCTCTGTTTTCTGCACTCCCAGCTACTGCAGTGGATGTGTTTAGGACTAGCATTTCTGTTTGTTTAAGAGGCTTTCTCCAGGGTGGAGCTAATGCCTGGTCTTAGTTACAAGTAAGCCTATAAATGCAAACTAACTTATAATATCAAGATAAACTCAATTTCATACATCTGCCCCTACCAGCAGAGTCAGGCCTTTTGCAGCTGTGTACAGCTGAGCTTAGTAAATGGTCCCAAATCCCCTATACAAACATTGCAGAGATACTTAGCCTGGGCTTAGCATAGCCCCTCAGGCTGATAGAGAGCAATCGCAGCAACTTCTTTCCCTTCCTCTCTATGTCTCTGCTGCCTCATGAGATCGCTTCTTCACCACGGATTGTGGGGGGTGTTGGACTAACCAAGCTCAGAGAATGCACAGTTAGAAAAGAGCCTGACCTGTCACTAATAGACCAAATCACAGAGATCTGAAGTGACATTTCTGACACTAGGACACCCTATGCCTCCCATCTTCCCTTGCACTGGGATTTTCCTCTCAGTTAAGCCATTTTTCTCAGTCTCTGCTTACAGATTTTCCTTGTTATCCCATCACTGCTCAGCCCGTTTTCCTTTTGTCACTGTTGTCTTCTCGCTCCGTTCTGCATTTGAAGGATCGATGAAATGGCAGGCTCCCTTCCCTGTGTATTACAGCTGGAGTGCAGGGTCCAGATGTGCTGGAAACACTGTGCTAGACAGCTGCTTGAGGAATACTTTGCTATGGTTTCACCTTAGAACTGTGTGCTTCTGCTTCGTGTGATTGAAGGTGACAGGACAAAGAGAAAATCTAGGGGSTTGAAATGGCTGGTGAGCAGACGGATGTCTAAGATGAAGCAAGCCATAATGTATCAGGACTTTTTGCATTCTGCAGAAGGTGCAAGATAAGTGGTTGTATTCTCTGCCCTTCCTCACCAACTCAGCTCTTCTTTCTTGTTTTATTACAGTTGAACAAGCTGGATGAAGCAGCAGATGCAGCTCACACTTTCTTCATGGCAAACCCTGAGCACATGGAAATACAGCAGGATATTGAGAATTACAAAACGACAGCAGGGAAGGTCAATCTGATTGACCGAGAGGCCAAGCCACACATGGTGAGTCTGAACTAAAGAGGAGCCTGGGAATAAMTCTCAGACAGTCTGGAAAAAAATGAGATTTAGGAGGCCAAGAGAGYATCATCTGTGAATTGAGAGGTTCTTGCTAAGGTGCAAGATAAATGGTTGTATTTGTATGGTCCCGATTAGGGTGATATCAGGTTACAGGCCAGCTCTCAAACCTACCAAAGCAAACGGAAAGAATCTTCCCCTAGCAGTTCTTGTCACACACACTAATTGAATTGAATTCTGCCTGCTTTGCTATGTGGATGATATGAATTTAAATACCAGGGCTTTCCCTGCTTCTAGCTTCTGGAGGTGTAAGGAAACAAGAGCAACCATTTAGTGCAGTGGAAACATTCCTGTTGGGGTGTTCTGAACTCGATCTGCCTGGGCCGAGTGCAGACCTCTTCCTTGCTTTGCATGTCAGCATTAGCCTCTCTTGCTCATCCTCTGTCATTGGCAAAAAATTAGGGACAYTGCGTATAGTACTTGGACAGGAGAGTTAATTCCATGTAGTACTTGTACAGGAAGGTTAAAACAGAGAGCAGTGGGGTTTTGTGTTTGCTTGTTTTTCATACAGTGCATAATCCAGTAGTGTCATCAAGAATGCTCTAYGTACAAAGGAGTTCAAAGGAGCATTTAGGCAGATTTATGGGGTTCCACTTCTCCACGAGTCCATTAATAGTTAAGCACTATTTGGTGCGGCCATTTATGCCTATAAGAGCCTGTCCTTGCCTACTTGTACTTTCTTTAAAAGCATCTGCTGTTGGCAGAGGCAGGATAYGACGGTCTGAGCAGTGCAGCCCGCTTAGAGCCTTACCTTCTATCTGCTACAGGAGGACTACACTGCTGGGGTGAGGCACTACGATAAGGAGGAGTACGACCTTGCCATTGAGTTCTTGGAGCGTGCATTGAAAGAGTACTACTCTGAGGATGAAGACTGCCAGATCATGTGTGAAGGGCCTCAGAGATTTGAGGAGCAYGAATACCTGGAATATAAGGGTGGCCTCTATGAAGCTATTGCAGGTGAGATCTTTTTGAATCTTAAAGAGTTTTCATCCTCTCTATAATATGTTGAAATATGTTTAAAATATTTTTAATAATTAAAATGTTTTTAGTAACTGAGCGTGGGCCTTTGGCTGGATGTGGCCATGTCTTTGCAACCCTTAGTAACCCTGCAGCAAGCCACTTGTAAGTTTGGAAAATGGAAATAAGTTGAACAGAGGAGAGGGAACTGTCTCATTTTGGCCGTTAACAGGAACTGGATTGGAGGAACTCGACATCCCATTGTGTGGAGCATTTGCAGCTATCTTTGATTTCTATCTCAGTAGAGATAGAAATGTAGATGCTTCAGCCTGTACACCTGCTCACCTCTGTGCACAGTCACACATACAAATACTGGTGAAACCTAAGCATCACTGGGACCCATCGATAGCCTCTAATTTTCTGTCCATGTTAAGGAAACAGAAGAGTTCTGTTGGCCATGCTCCACGTRGCCAGGAAGGTTGCCAGAAGAGCTCAGATCATAGACTTCTTCACCATCCAAAAGGATGGATTTTTCGTTTGTGGAGAGCCACCTAATTGCAACCTTGACTAAAATCTCTGGAGAGAAATGAATGTTGCCATGTAATTTTCAGATTTGCATGTGTGGCTGTGTGACTTTGAGCCAGGGAGAATTAATAAGATTTGTTCTCAGTAGAAATAAGATTACATTTAATTAGTGGTAAGGGAAAGAAGAGCAATAAATTACGTTCTGTTTGGCAATAGCGATCTTATTTATCTGCTGTTGGTCTTGGAGTTCTCTCAAGTGCTTTGAGTTTTTCTGTGGAAAATACTTCACTCAAATGCAGATTGTTCTTCATTTTTGCAGAATTGTGTTTGCAGACAAAGATCTAACTGAACATAACAAGATGAGAAACCACCAACACACAGAAAGAGAAGTTGCCTTTGTTAAGGAAAATTACTTACTTAACATCTTTGGAACAAAATGAGGGATTGTTTCTGATGTTACCCATGCAAAAATTGTGACAAGTGTTCCAAGACTGACTTGCAGATGGGTTTTGTCACCAATGTAACCGTCAGAGACTCATGTGTGGTTTTAAACTTAGTTTGCTCCTGAGTCCACATCTCTCAGCCCAGATGTTTCAGCTGGGAGTGGAAACTCTTAGCACACTGAGAAAATAGTTTAATTTTCTCCAAAATATTGTTCTCTTTTCAGTTCCAAGCTAGTTTGTTATGCTACTACATGAGGTTGAAATGCCGTCATCTTTTCACACCAGAAAAAGTATATTTCATTGACTGATTGCCATATAAACATGTGTGTATATATATATATTTTTTTTTTCAGGACTTGACAGTACAAGGACAAAGCAGTGCTGTCCATGATGGATCATTTCATGTCTAGAATGCTGTATTAAATTATAGYAAAATTATTTGTACCCCTCTCCTTCACACTTTCCTTAGTGTCACACCCTGGATGTATATGGCAAATCAGATGCCCATCAGGACTACCTGCTCAGTGAAAAGGAGGATTGTTTTGAGTTTCCACTTGATCTGTGTGCAAATTCCTCGGGCTGTTTTTCTGGCAGCGCTGAGAAATGCTTTGGTAGCCGAGCACATGTTTTTTCCAAGCCTGTATTTGTTTCTTGAGGTTTTTAATGCTGTACAGAGAMGGAGCAAGCAAAGTAGATTTGTAAGTACATTGCAGCAAAGGCTCCAAACGGGAATCAGATGTCAGTTTTGGCTTAGAAAATGCACAGCTGATACAGTGCCTATATTGTATACTGCCTCCAATTAGAAAGCTTGCTGACGGCAGATGTTTACCACGTGCTTTCACGGTCCTGGGAGATTTGTCATCGTCGGGAAGCAACAAACATTGGGATTTTGCTGCCAACTTTTGCACCTTAGACCTTTCAGATTAGCAGTGTGCACACTGTGCTTGAAAAACTGCACTGAACCCCAGCCTCTCCTGCAGCTCTGCCCTTGCAGGACTTGTTGCTGCACAGGAGAGGCTTGGAGGTGAGCCCAGGGGACATGGTGTGGGATTAGTTTTCATATGAGAGCTGTGCTGCCTTCACAGCCCTGCTGCTGTGTGGCGGGTGGGCTCACCAGCAAGCTCCCACCAGCATATCTGGGAAGAGCAACAGTGCACAGACTATATCAGCACAGAAGCAGCAGCTCCTGGAATCCAAAAAAAGATGTTCAAACTCCCTCTACAGTTGACAGAAGGAGAAAGGCATTTCTGAAAGAGGCCAAAAATGTGATAGCATCCCTCCACTGGGTGTCATAAAGGATCTTAGCTCTTYCTAAAGGTGCTGTCAGTCACCTTCCTGGCCGGAGCAGCAGAGTGATGGGTCTCCCAGCTGCACTCTGCCTCCACAGAAAGACAGTTTAATGCTGGAATTTTCTTCTCCTCCATTTTGGTGCCACCACCATTTGAATCATGTGTCCTTTAGTCTGAGAGATAATGTCCCTCTGTCCTGGGGACACTGTTTCATTGCTGTCACCATCCTTCCTAGTTCAGAGTGTCTTATCMCTCTTTTCCTTGCAGATCACTACATGCAAGTCCTGATGTGCAAACACGATTGCATCCGAGAGCTTGCTACACGTTCAGGACGTATCTCACCCATTGAAAATTTCCTTCCGCTCCATTATGATTACTTGCAGTTTGCCTATTACAGAGGTAAAGGTTTTCTTTTGGCATTTTACAGCTTTTGCTAAATTTTGTGATGGAGGAATTGTTTTACTTGGGAATCAGCATATTTCCTTGTGAGGTGTGTGTGCTACCATGATGTTATGGCACTATCTAAACAAGAAAGAGCAAAGGACATTGAAAGTTGTCTGTTCAAAAATACTTTCCCTTTCAGGTTGTGTGGAATGCATAGTTAAATACTTTTCTAGAAGTATTTTTGTGTTATATTGCTATAATCTAATATTAAAATCAGCAGTTGAACTCTGCAAGTTCAAACTTTAGCTTGTAGTCACGATTCTTCTTTAAATAATTCACGCATATGGAGATTCTTTCATTTGCCTTTTGGTATTAAAATGTTGGCAGTTCCCTGTCTCTGGAGTGGAAAAGTTAACATTGCATCAAAGCAGCCTTGCRAAGTGTTGGGATCATCCCTTTGCTCACATGGTTCCTTCCACCTGTAACATCTTCCCCCTTCTTGCCTGTCTGCCCTCTGCTCTGTGACCCTCCTGGCACAGCCAAAGGGGTGGCAGAGCTGGGCACCCCTCTGCCTCCTAACAACTGCTGTATTCCCTTCCAGTCGGTGACTACGTAAAAGCTCTGGAATGTGCCAAGTCCTACCTCCTGTTCCACCCAGATGATGAAGATGTCTTGGAGAACGCAAGTTATTATGAGGGTCTTCTGGAAGGTACCCTGGATCCAGACACCATCAAACCTAGAAAGGTAAGAACAAATGGCATGTCAAATCATTTGGGGCAGAAGCATCCTCTGGAAATGAATTCARCTTGGCAATTTGCCCATCCTGGGACCACTTCAAAAACAGATTTGAGGATGATGGACAAGCTGGCARTGCAAACTGTAGTGGTGCAGAATCAGAGGGGCTGGTGAGAGCGAGATACTGGAGAGCAGGGGCCTCTCTAAACTGGGACTTGTGCTAAATGAACACCAAGCAAGGGCAGCGTAAGTCGTGACTGAGCTCCTGAGCAGTGTAAACGCTTCCCTCTCATAGTGCCCTGGAGGAGGAATGTAAGGAAACACTGAGCACAAGGGGAACCTCCATTCGGAGAGGGCTGGGAAGTACTTTCCCAGGAGAAGTTTTGATGTCAGCTCAAGTCCCTGACTGATAGCTTGGAGTTAATGTTCAGCCTGTTCTGCAGGGAGCAGCATGGCCACAGCAGGGTTAGGCTGGGGTCACACAGTCAACCAGTATTTACTCAATCACCTGGTGGGACAGACTTCCTCTTTGCCCAGGGTAGTTTTCGTCTGTGGCTCTGTGGCTGCCTTTCTCATGATCCAGAACATGAGAAGTTCCTCCCAGCCCWTCACAGCCCTGCTCAGACTCAGTCCTTTCACTCTGTAAGTGGATGTCAGGAATTGGATTTTCTGTTCCCTAGGGAATTCTTTGATTTCCAGGAAAACCTTATGTTGAAATCATTAAAAAACAAAACAAAAAAAACCCCAAAGAACAAGAACAGTCATAATTTCTGCTCASAAATTGAATCTAGGGGAAAAAAATGAAGTTGACGAAACATTTCAATATGTTTCCATTGTTTTGACATTAAACAAAAAAAAAAAGTTAATTTTGTTTAGTAGAGTAATTTTCTAGGAGAAAACCTAGTGTTTTGTTAAATATTTTCCTACAAAAATTTGTTAGAAGATTTCCAGCTAGCTCTGCTTTTGTGGTCCCTGYCTCTCAGTACCTGAGTGCTGCCACACAGGGTGCAGTGTCCAAAGCCACCCACTGTCCCTAGCAGACAGGGCTGGCCCATTAGCTCCGTGTTACAGATGGGAGCCAAGGTGCAGCTCAGGCAACACCCATATCCCAAGAGCCTGAATCTGCCTCCAGCTCTGCAACCAGGGCTTCCCCAGTCGACATCTTACTGGGAAGGTTAGAGGTTTTCCGGGGTGCTCGGCTCTCTCCAGCAATGATGCACATGTATGCTGGGCATTCAGGCTTCCTGAGGAGCTTGGCACCACCCCAGCCCACACAGAAGATCTGTAATGTAGAAAGCAGCACAGCCCTATGCACCAGAGTTGATTTAAGGGATGATCCAGGAACTGTTGCATCTTTTGTCTCCTAGGATTCTGAGGTGAGGCATGAAAAGCAATTCCCTGTTTAAGCAGAAGTACAYTAACTGTTTCTTATGGAAACTACACTTAAAACAACTCCCTTTCTCCTCTTCATTTCAGGAAGCTAAAATGCTGCTGAAGCGCCATAAGCTGGAATCTCAGCTCTTGCAGATGGCTGCAGACGGCCTTGGATTCGCCTACACAGAGCCGGTAATGCCCGTGTCTGTCACTGCAAGGGCTGTTTATGGGTTTACAGCTGTAGCAATGGCTTTCCCCTGTTTCCTTGCTGAAAAGCAAGGCCCTACGTTGGTGACTCAGGAGCTGTGTCTTGGCCCAGTGTGTTCCCTATAGGAAAGTGGTGTTGGCAAGGCAAGCAAGGCAGCTGTTCCAGGGTGGAGGACAGGCAGATGCAGCTTCATCCATCCCCTCAATAGCATCTCTCTGTCTCTCAGACATCAATCCAGTGGGACCTCCAAGGGTCACCCCCTTTTTATCCTGGTGGGGTGGAACAGAGAAAGCCAGATGAGCTGTCCAGGTGAGTGTCCCCATCATGCTGGGTTCCAGGCACTCCAAGGATTCATATGGGATGAATCTAAACCAGAGAGACTGACAGGCAGAGCAGCAATCCCCTGCAGGAGCCTTCTGGGATTAATTTGATTGTTAATTTAAAAAACACGATCTCTCTGTCTTACTGCAGAACTACTGGAACCGATATGGAGCCCGTCAGGATGAACACAGGTGAGTCCTTGGTCCCGTTTGTCCATTTTTTTGATATAATGGTCTCTGGGGGGGGGTGAAAAAGCAAAATCGTTCCTAAAACCAGAAACCCATTGCCAAAGGCATAATGTTCCTCTTCTCTTCCTCCTCAGTTGATGTTCCTCTTCTCTTCCTCCTCAGTGTCCCATCAAGTATTAGCAGTGAACCAGAGGATGGGCCCAGGCTGTCCCTAGGAAAGAAACCTGGGTCAAAAATAGATCGAGAGTTGAAGGAGGGTAAGTCTGATGAAAGTTTTTCACCAAAACCCAAAGTTTCCTTKTATTACTACAGAGTACAAACTGCCGTCATAGTCAGCATAGTAAGAAAAGTTCGTACTTGAGTAATGAGGTCCAATCCTACCTGGGTTGTTGCAGTTTTGCTTGAGAGGGGTCTCTGTTTGACCCTGCAGCAGTATTTGCTGGTCTGTGGATCCTGTAGTACTTTTGGATCTGCTCTTCTGAGCTGCTCAGCACTGAGCCCTGAAATGACAGAGTTGGGAGACTGTTTCTTCATTAGCGAGGGGAAGGTGGCACCACCAKATAGGTTTCCTCTGGATGCTCTTAAGATTAAAGTATTCCCTTTTGTCCAGCTTGGAGAAGAACTGATGCTGGAGGCACTGGGCTTTGAGAACTCCAGTACTGCTGTTTTGCTAAACACTGGCCTGCACCATTTCAATAAGCATTCCTGGCTGCAGTTGGGCTTTTGATTTCATGGCTTACATCAAACTGCTTGGTTTTAAGGCCTGGCGGCACAGATTTCAGCTAATTCAGCACATTCTTTCCAGCCACAGAAAATACCGTCATATTTTCTACTAATAGGCAAGATTTCCTCCAGAGCAATTTAGACAAATTATGTTGCTGCCAAACTCCAAGGCCTGCTTCTCACTGCAAAATGACAAGATCTCAAGTCAAGTTTCTCATGTCTCTAGTGGGCCAGCTCCACACCAACAGGCAAAGAAATGTCCTTGTAATATCAAGGAAACTCTTGCCATTTGCAGAATTTCACAACATTCCTTGACCTAAATTCTCTCCAGCTCTTTGATGTCTTGTTCAGAGTCTCATTGCCTCTTACTCTCACTACACAAGTAAAATAGGAGAGTACTATGGGAAGATCTCRAACAACTTGCTAAGCCAAGAGCTGGTTGCTTTATATTTGTTGCTTTGTTTATTTCTATAACCAAATAATTTTGTAGTTTGCCTTTCTCTGCTTTTCCTTCTGCCATTGTTTTTATTTTGGTGATTTGAACTGGGATTCCCTGAATCCTTCTGCAGTTGCATTTAGAGGCGAGCAGAATTGAGGAACGTAGCCAGGAACATACTGATGGTGTGATACAAGTATTCAGTGCTCACAACACAGCTCCCGTGGCAGCTCCTGCAAGATCCCCTGGTCATTTCTGCACTAATTGGTTGCACAGGCTCTTATGCCTCTGGGTTATTTTATTCGTTTGATCTCAGACCTGGATCTGGGCTGCTCTTCCAAAATAAACTCGCCTCTGCTGCAATTTCAGTCTGGGAAATTGTTAAAACCCACCCAGTTATGATGTACCATACCAGAATATGCTGTGAATTCTTAAAAGCCATCAGACAAGGAGAAAACAGCACTGGCTTTAGATACTCCCCATCTTTTCCTGCTGTATCAGAAGGGCAGTCAGAGCATATGGGACATAGATTGTCCAGCTTTGATGTGTCAGGTACATTTGGACTCTGTGAAATTTGGGCTTAATGACAGAGCAGAAAGGAAAGAAGTTGCAGGAGAATAAAACAGCTCTTCTCCTAGTGCTGAGTTCACCTGAGTTCAGGTCCACGTTAGGAAATACTGCCATGTTGTCAAAATCTCAAGTGACAGGACATTGGCCAAGACAAACTCCTTTTAATACTGTGACAAGAAGAGACTGAATTAACCAGAACTTGAGAACCAGGACACCTGATTTTCATTTCCAGTTCTGTCTTTGTCTTTTGTATCTGAACCTGACCAGCAATGAAGAAACTAAATGACACCGCAGTTCTCTGAGTAGCAGCAAGGCAGACTAATGGATAGTGTAAAGACTGTGGGGCCATCCATGGTTCTTTAAATCATTTACTTTGTGAAATGGATATAGGAACTTTGTACAAGTACAGCACTCCTCCTTGTATGTATACTGACCCTGGTGAGGTTTGCTGGCTGCTATGACTTACACAGCTCAGTGCCTGCTATGAATTTTGACACAGCAGAAGTTTGGTGCATCAAACTGAACACAGAAGGAAAACCCAAACGGAATGAATTTCTTCTCCAGGTTGCTCCTTGGCACAGTCAGAAGAAACCTGTAGGCTCTTTATGCTTTTGATAACTTGATCCTAGCAGCTGAAGGTTGCATCCTGCCAGCAATGGGGCTCTAAAAAAGCAAAAGACATAAGCAAGACAAACCATTCTTCAAACCACAGTGGGTCCACACAAAGGTGGCTGCGTTGGCCTGTAGCAGATGCCTGGGAAAGAACAGGAGAAACTGGAGAAGTCCTGAGTGATCTCTTCCAGATTAGTCGTTCATGTGCTCCATCTCTTGCATCTGGGGATGAGCAGCACCCAAGCTGGGAAGCTGTGATATGAGTTGGCGTGTGCCAGAAGATTGCATTTCAGAGCTCTGTCTCTGCTCTGAGTTCATTTATAATACATGCTATTATTAACCTACAGAGAGGACATGAGGGACATCCCATGCCTTCCATTTCCAAGAAATATAGCTCTTTAGAAATAAACCCATGGACTAGTGCAGGGGAAAGGACTATTCCTTCAGAATTATGTGTCCTCTATTAGCCAAGAGGATCTTTCAAAAATACCAAATGTGCTGCAGACAAGAAAGGTAGTAATTATAAAAGCAATGTAACAGAAAAATTTCATTATGCCACATGGTGAGARGAGCTCAGTGCCTCTGCTTCCTCTCACTTATTGCAGCTTTGTCACAAAAGATAATTTTTCCCATGACTTAGATGTATTTTACCTTCCTCCTGTTGAAACATCTGGTTTAAGTTTTGGTTGTTGCTGCTATTTCTTTTATTTGCTCTCTTCGAGAGATCGGGAGGAAGAGGGTTCAGAAGGCAGTGGTTTAGTGGCCGTGCCGTGGTTTTCTGATCAGGCAGATTTGACAGGCAGATTCCATCTGGAAGAGGAAGACAGTTGTCTTCCTGAAGGCCAGTAGCAGGGAGCAGGAGTGATTTGCCCCTGKCCCCAGGGCAGGTCCTTTGCCATGAGGGAAGGATGGTCCGTGGGCTCCTGCAAGTTTCCTACTCCCAGCCTGATCCCAGCAGGATCAAGCACAAGCGATGCTTGCTCCGAGCTCACCGGGGCATCAGGTTTTCTACACAAGTGGAAGACCAAAACAACCACTGATGACAGCTACAGACAAAGGTGTGCTGCATGCCAAGCCAGCAAGTTTCACACAGAACAATGGCAGTGGAAACTTGGACTTTCATTTATGTTGGCTGCTGGGCAGGAGAGCCTTGTTAACRGGTGTCTGTGTCCTTTGTGGCATCCCATTGGGTTTGGCATTTTTAGAATGTGGTTGCAAGGCAGCTGGTGAATGACTGGAAAGTGCTGATGCTCCTGCAGCAAATCGATTATTTCACCCCTCGTGCTTCCATTGCTTCTGTCTCTTTTGTTGTTGATGCAAAGCCAAATTCTGCTCGCTGTTAYGCTGCTGTAAAGCTGTTTCCCTAGGAGTACACCCAGATGGCTTTCAGCCATGGTGCAAGATACCAGTGAGGCCATATCACGTTTAGCAAGATTATTCTGTGTCTCTTTCCATCAGGGGGTCCTCTTCTCTACAGTGATGTGAAGTTTGTCTACAACTCCCAGCAGCTGAACGGTACCCAGCGAGTGCTGTTGGATAATGTCATCTCAGAGGAGCAGTGCCGAGAGCTTCACAGGGTGGCCAGTGTGAGTACCCAGGGCTTGGAGAGACGGGAAATCACTGTCATTTGGGTTAAATGTCTGATGTTCCACACACATTTGGCAGGTTAGAGATGTGATCAGTCCACAGGGAGCCTCTGGGCTTTCATCTCACTCACTGAGCCTTTGCAACCCATGCTGTGATGCCCATGGACAGTGGTCAGAGACTGGTCCCCGTAACACACACATAACTGCTGAATAGGACCTGGTGCCCCATTTTGGGTCACGCTAAAAAAAAGAAGCTGAAAGGATAATGCCCATACAGAAGTAGCTTTTTGCTGTCTTATACATAACTCCCAAAGAGCATCCATCTGCAAGCCTGGTGGAGCCTGTTCATCGAGCAGCATCTCAGCCTAGGGAGAGGCTTGAAGATACCTGAACATCCCTAGTTGGGAGGTAGGCAGCTGTTTCCCAGCATCTCCAATTTATGGAGAGCTTCACACCGCTTCCGCCTCTCCTGGTGAATGTGATSCCGGGGTATTTTGGGAAGAGGATCCCAGGCACTTCCACTTGAGCTTCCCCTCTCCTGATCAATGAGCTCATGTCTCAGTGGTGTTTGTGTCTTTCCTCACAGGGAATCATGTTGGCTGGAGATGGTTACAGGGGCAAAACCTCACCCCATACSCCAAATGAGAGATTTGAAGGAGCCACTGTCCTCAAAGCCCTCAAGGTACAGCTTCATCCCTCCTCTTCTTCCTCTAGCTTCCTGGGTAGCCAGCACACAACTCAGATTTTCTCTCGTCCTCTTTTCCCTGCCCAGTACGGCTATGAGGGTCGTGTCCCACTGAAGAGTGCCCGCCTCTTCTACGACATCAGTGAGAAGGCTCGTCGGATCGTCGAGTCTTACTTCATGCTGAACTCCACGCTCTACTTCTCCTACACACACTTGGTGTGCCGCACAGCCCTGTCTGGTGAGGGACCCCGGGAAGGGGCTCGTCTTGGCAGGGAGATGGGAGGATGGGACATTTTCAGCTATAGGGTGTGCTGTGCTTATAGGTGTGGTGCTTTGGAGAGGCCCTACCACCAGTTCAGACTCACCAAATGGTTACCCAAAAGACCCAAGTGTGAGAGAAGGTCTATGGATAAACTGGTAGCTGAGGGCTTTCAAGAGAATATAATTTCTTGGAATATGTCTGTTCTTTATGTCTCCAACTCTTCCTCTTTTGTCCCTTCCATCTCTTTTCTCCTCTTACTGCACCCTTTCCATCTCCCCAGCCCTCCATCTCTCTTTCCTCAAACCTTCCTGCAGGGAATAAACAAAGCCATGCAAATCTGAACGCTCAGATTTTGCCTTTTCTCCTCAGCATTTCCTTCCTTTCTCTCATCTGTGAAAGTCACTCAGTGGGGAGTCAGAGCAGGCTCAGCTCCRTTAACAACACAGAGCCAGGCATTCCCATCTCATCCCATCCCTTTTCCTTCCCCCTTCCTCCATATGGTCCTGCCTAGGCCAGCAGGAGAAGAGGAACGACCTGAGCCATCCCATCCATGCTGACAACTGCCTCTTGGACCCTGAGGCCAACGAGTGCTGGAAGGAACCTCCTGCCTACACCTTCCGGGACTACAGGTAGGAACTGATCACAGCTGCCTCTCCAGRGCACCCAGCTATGTTACCAAGTGAAGGGTGTATGTGCCAGACAGGCCATGCAATCTATAGATTATAAACCCTGAAGCTGACACCTCCCAGTGGGGGCCAAAATGCATGTCAGCAGATAATTCTTGGTGCAAGTCAGCATCATAGCGACGCTTCAAGCCAGAACGTAACTGCAAAGGCTGTACAGTATTTTCCACAGGTCTCTTGTGGGATACTTTCAGTGAGAAATAAAAGGATGAGAGATGGTGGGAATCTGTTCGTGCCAAGAATTGTGCCCTGTTCAAGGAGCGATCTGCTGATTCTCAGCTTAGACTCCAAAAGAGGTAGTTTCAACAAGCTTGCCCCAGCTAGTGAGTGAGGCAGGAAAGAGGTTGTCTCCTTAGGTTGATAACAGATAGAAGGATTGTTTCTAACCGCTGGCCAGGAAGAAGCAGAACACATACAGTATTGTGGGTCTTGACCAGGTCCCGCAATGGGAATCTTCCCTATATTCCCTTCAGCAGCTGCCACAGTCACCATCTCCCTGGAGCTACATGAGATCAGTCACATGAGTGGTAGGCCAGCCCTAAGCACTTGCTTTTGCTCCCCTCACCGGGATCCTGCTTCTTTCCCCAGCGCCCTCCTGTACATGAATGCAGATTTCGAAGGAGGCGAGTTCATTTTCACGGAGATGGATGCCAAAACTGTAACCGTAAGTCAGTGGTTGTTTCCTGGCTGAGCTGCTGTGAACTGAATGGTGGGAGTTGATGTCTGTGATGTTCTGCAACCTGAGAGTGCGGGACTTTGTGCCAGGGGAACATGACTTGCCTGGGCATCCTGTGTCTCATTGCTTGTGAACCTCCCCTAGGAAAGCTTCTATCCGCTGCCAGAGGTTCACAGACCTTGTTCCCTGCCCAGAGGCTTTGCCGTGCAGTAAACCAGGCTGCAGATGTTTGCACCACTTGTGCTCTGGCAGTGGGTTGGCTGAAAAACAACCCAGGTAGAGGCCAGCACTGGCTGAGATGGCTCCTTTCCTGAAGGACCGTTGAGCTCCTACTCCACCTTGTGGCCAAACGTGAAGTGATATCAGTGCCTCTGTAATACACACTGGTGTCTTTTGCTGCTAGCCRAATCCTCCACTCATGTCATGCTGTCACATAGCTCTTCCTTCTGCCTACGTTAGGTGAGGGCAGCCCATGTTCAACATTCTCACAGCAGCAACCCGGTCTACAGAGATCATGTCCATCCTGGGGACAGACAGTAATGTTGTCAGTGCCATTTTCTGCTGTAGGACACAAAAGATGAACCTGGCTTAGTTTCTCAGAGCAGATCACTGCTGCAGACGGTTCCTGAGAGGGATGTGGCTCAGGCCTTAGCCCCCATGCTCAGCATGGGCTCGTGTGGGAAGCCAGGTGGCCTTTCAAGGGTTGAACAGAGAGGGGGTCTGGGCACCACCCCAGGGCTGTGGAGTCCAATACATGGTGCAGGTAAACTGTGTCTACATAAGAGCAGCACTTAATGATTGTTTTTATGGGCACTTTGGTCACTGAGGTCCTGGAGGATCCATGTGTACTCAAAAGAGAGAAGAGGATTTCCACAGCTTGTGCCAAGGTTAGCCTCATCCTCCCTGCAGTCATGCTGTGGCCCGTTTTTGCCAGAGATGGTCACCTGCAGGTTTTGCAGCTTCCCCACAGCGTCACCTTCTTCCTGCCTGGCCTCTGTGCAGCAGCATTGAGCCTCTGTCCTCCCAGGCCCAGTCCTGCATGTCCCCCAGAGCAGCTCACCGAGTCCCAGGAGATGCAGGGACACCCACTGAGATCCAAGGCCCTGGACCACGGGGAGCCCAGATGTCAGCAGTCTAACTGGTCATGCTGCTGTTTGCCACCACGTTTACAATGCCAGCTTGTTGCCTCTTTTCCTGCAGGCCTCTATCAAACCCAAGTGTGGGCGAATGATCAGTTTCTCGTCAGGTGGTGAGAACCCCCACGGGGTGAAAGCAGTTACCAAAGGCCAGAGGTGCGCTGTGGCTCTCTGGTTCACCATGGACCCACTTTACAGAGAGCTGGTGAGTTCCTCCTTTGCAGTGTGAGGGGAGCAGGGGTTACTCAGTGTCCCAGAGGTACCAGTGAAAGCCCCCAGCTCCTCCCTGCTTCTTAACTGCTGCAGGAAGGACCCATCCTTAGCTTGCAGTCCTACCATGTCTGCTACCTTCCTCCATCAAACTCCCCCAACAGCATTCCCATGAATTGTGCCTCCACCAAAGGAGGAGTGAGGGATTGTTAGGTGAGCTGGATGCACCGTCACTGAGCAGTTTTCTCTGCTGGCCATGCTCCTGCTTGCAGGTTGCCCTGGGTTAGATGMTGGTTGCACCCAGACTGGATGCTCCTGGATGCAGGTCACACCAGTGTTGGATGCTGGACGGCTCTGCAGAGTTGGAGCTGGACATGTGTGACACCTAGTGGCCAATAACCTAATGAGCAGGAAAAGACCTCGTTAACGATCTGCAGCTGGAAGGCTCAGAGGAATGTCCTGATACTGCCAGATCCTCATTGGCTGCTTGGCATCATCTTCCTACAAGTTAATGGATTTGGGCACCTGGATGCCCTGGAAGATCTGGTGGTGCCTTTCAACTGCGAGTCTCCAAATTCTGTTTTTAAAGCCTGACATATCAGCTCCTTCAGTAGCAAACCTGATCAGTGGGGATAAAAAAAATAGAAGACCTACTGCAAGCACGTTCCTCACAAAAGGAAGTGTAGCGAAAAAGCAAAACTCTTGTGCTTCTGTCTTGTGAATTCTGTGTGTTAGACAAACATGTGGGCTGCAATGTTTTAATTTCAGACACAGACATTATTGTTTCTGGCTGTATTTTGGTGACAGATGATATCCTACTGTAGTCAGTGCTGTATTCCCATATAGTACATCAGCCCTGTCCAGACAGCTGGAAATCTTAGCCGACAAGGGAAGTGAAGGGGAAGATTAACTGGGAGGACACGAGGAGGCTCCAGCACCCTGCCAGTGGCTGCAGCTCTTTATGTAGTAAGAAAAGGCAACTATAATACATCAGCTCTGCTCCTATCCCCCATAGCTCTAGGAGAAGGAAGTTGAGGCACTGAGGTGCAAGTGATTTGATTAATTTTGCCCAGTAAATCCCCAACACAAGTTCCAGGCTGTGCCCTGTCCTCTAGACAGCGCTGCCTACATGAACTGTCTTGCTCTGCCTTATCCCCATGGGCTTAACTGCCCTGAATGAACTGGAGGCCGGCACTGAAGCGCTGCTATTATGGTGTCTTTTTCTTCCTTTCTTGCAGGAGCGAATCCAGGCAGATGAAGTGATAGCAATGTTGGACCAGGAGCACCTAGGACCCAGTGAAATGAACATCAACCCAAAGGATGAGCTATGAACTAGGCCAAAGACTTTTTCTATTAAATATTTATTTAATATTGTTAATCTTATTAGAACCTCTCTATTTTTGTACAGAGTTGCTGTATAAATTAACAGGTTAATATGATTGTGGAGTTTCAGAAACACCTCTTCTGTGTTTAGTGCAGCTCTTGCTGGAACCCCTTGTTCTTGTGCCAACATCTCCTGCTGAGCCTAACTCTTGGATTTCCTGTCCTTTTCTTAGCACTTCTCAGGACTTAGATGCACCGTAACAACTCGGGGGACCCCTTTCTTCTTCCTCAGGCAGAAGTATCTGCTTCTCCTCGGTGCCCTATTGTGAGAAACATCTTCTGTATGATGAGGGGACATTGACAGCACCACTTCTGTACTGTCCAAAGACCCAGGCAGTGCTGCCCTCAACCCCTTGGTTTATTCAGGACAAYTCACACTAGCAACGCACTAAAGCAAGACGACTACTTAGCAGCTACCTGCGAAACAAGGCACCTACATAGCAGTTACTTACGAGAGGATACTTGCCAGCAGGATAGCGAGACCCATCATTCTGCTTGATGGATGAGAGGTGACCGGCAGGCCCCAAGCTTGCAGGCATCCCTTCAGAGACAACGTAGGTCTCAGTTGGAAGTCTCCCCCCCGTCACCTCCCGTCCACAATTAATTTTATATCTCGCGTGTTCCGCCACATAGGGCCRGTATGTGTCAAGAGATGACCAGAGGGTGGGCAAAGCGCCACCTTTTTCATTAGGCAACTCTCCCTGGTGTGCACGTGCACCTACCCATGGGGGGGGGGGGGTCTCTGGTCTCATTATGAGGGTCCTGYCTTCATCATCTTCCTCTCTCTCGCCTCAGGTTTGACCTCCAAACTAGCTGAGAGGTCGGCTGTGTTTGGGTTGGCGCCATGCCTTCTGGCACAGCCGCCTCCAAATGCCTCAGTTGCTCCTCACCACCAGATAAGGCCCCTGTTTTCRCAGCTGTAGGGCCATCTTCAAACTCCCTACAACCAGATCATGGCTTAGTTCTCAGCTTCACAACCGTCTCAAGGCCACTATAGATCATAAACAGGTTATGAAGCTTTTCTCCTCTTATACAGGAGCACACGTCAATTACAGCTGCTCATTGCATGCTGCCTTCCCTCTCCAAGCCCTTTTCCACTTGGAGCATGCTTGTTAAGGAGAATACAAAGCAAAGTCTAACTCCTCAGAAAATGCACGTCTGTCTCTGTAGTGCTGCAAAGCTGGGGCTGGGACATTATTTCAGAACTGAGCTTCCAAAAGGCACCGGCTGAGCAGATGCATGGACTGTGCACAGGCCCAAAGAGTCTTGACTGGCACTGTCCAATGAAATGGGACCTCTTACTCTTGTGCTGTCCTTTCTTTTTCATGTGGGTGGGGATGCAGGAAAGAAACTGCCTCACGCCTCATCCTTTAGCTTTCCAAGCAAGTGCTACAGGTGGTAAAAGTCATAGTTTCCAGATCCATGTTCAAAAGCATCTGAAGGTCTCCGGGACATTAGGTGACACAGATGATCCTGATGAAGTTGGATGATCGTGGTGGCTCTGCTCTTGATTTGCTGCATCCTGCCATCTCAGCAATGCAGAAACAGCAGCTGTTCATGATGTGATAGCATCCATTTACTCAGAATATTTCTGCCCTTGATGGAGGATATTGCTGTGAAAGTGTGCTGGTTATCACAAGAGATTTTACTCTTCAAGTAACTGCTGCTAAGCTAGTAAATCATTCTTCTCCCACCATCAACCTCACTCCTGTGCATTAGACCAGAGCAGCTTCTACAGAACTCGTAACAAGTACCAAAGTGTCAGATTAACCTGGGTCACAGTCAGAGGGACAGCTTTTATTTCAAATGACCAGAAGCCTCTGCTGCTAGAAAGTAGTTCCTAAAAGAGATGTTGCAGAAGTCTTCACTGCTGAATTTCCTACAAGGCTGCTATTTTTCAAGAAAGCACCATAGGGATCTTGGCTGGACATCAAGCCCTTAAGCCTTCGGACCAGCTTTGATCAGCTTGCTGCTTCTTTGGCTTGACACTCACTTATTTCTTCTCTCTTCCTCGGTGTCAGTTTGGCATTTCCAGCACTTAAAATCTGTAATAGAGAATTGGCATTTCTGTCTGATGATGCTGCTTGTACAAGTCTAAGGCTTGGAAGCACCTCCTTGCACTTGGTCCCTAGCTGAGAAGGCCATTTGCAGGAATGATCTTTTTTTTTGCAGAGACCATCTCTAAAACTAGCCCATGGCAGGAAACAGGGGTGCCCATAGGACCTGGACAAAGAATTGTCCTGACTGTGAAGGGGGTACCATTACTGTCAAGCAAACTGTGGTAGAATCATTTGCTGCGTATCCTTCATGCAGGGGAGAAAGCCTGGAGTGTAGCCAGTTTAATTGAGATTTTCTGTACCTTCATAATGTACTACTGTCCTGTTTTCCAGAGCAAATGCCTAYATGGATTGCCTTTCAGTGACCCATCTCTATTTAAATTTCTTCCCTTAATTACTTGGGTTTCACCTTAAAAGAGTCAAAGGAAAAGGTTGGAGGAGAAARGGCAGGTGGAGAGCTGAAGTGCTAGTTATGTTTGTTTTAACCCATCCACACCATGTCATTGCCTCCAAGGCCAGACTCCCACCTTCAGCATGAGTTTGTGCTGCTCATCATGGTTCGTTCACATACCTCTTCCAAACAGGTCAGCTCTCATACCTTGAATTTGTCTCCTCCAGCACATCCCAGYTGTTTCTGCCCCTTCCAAGTATCACAGTGTGAACCCTGCTCTATCACATCCCTTTACAGATAGGGACAAGGGGCTCTCTGTGCCTGTGTGCCCCTTTCCAGGTTGTGTTTCCTTYGCTGCTGTGGTGGCTAGCCAGAGCTGTGTCTAAATTCAGGGGAAATAAAACTAAAGACAACAGCTGGGCTTGTCTTTGTCTTTCTTTATTCAGCCATTAGAAGAGGAGACTGGGGTGGGGGAAAGGTGTGCCCAGCCTGTCTTGGTGATGGTATATATTTAAGGGGGGGAGTTTGAGGGGTTTCTCCCCCAATTTGCTGCAGGACAACTCACAAAAGCCATGCTGGAAGTGGTGGCAGAGAAAATGATGGGCACCRGGTTAAGCAGCGCTGGGTGCATATGCTGGTCTGTCCATCTCCTYTGCTAGGCCTCCATCTGCCTGATAACCTCTGCAGCATTGGTGCTCTTCAGCCGCAGTGGAGAGCASGATTGGGTTGGTACTAACTGACCTCTGGTGAAGCAACAGCTTTGGAGGAGCCCAGGGGATCTACCTTGGCAGAACGTGGCTTCCCAGGACTCGGCTGCAGGCGCTACCAACACCGGCACTAAAGCACCGCTCCATTCTCCCTTCCAGACCTGCTTCTCCTTGGTGCCAGCCTAGAGCTGGGAAACAAGAACACAGTGAGTCAAAGGTCTTTTTCCTGCTTGTTTCTTTTTCCAGCTTTCTGCCCCTTCTTTTAAAGTCTAGCTCATACATGGATTTCTGTTGCAGAGGTGGTTGCCAGGTTCATTACTTCACTGTAGCCTTGCTGGAGCAAGATACAAACCCCTTCAGATCATGCAAAAAATACAGTGTAGGTTTTTGGGTCTCCCTTTTATCAAACCRGGGTGAGGCTGCCCTGGAAATGACCACTGAAGAGCAGCTTTTGACTCTCGGAGCTTTTGATGAAAGCCAACAGCAAAACCCAAATGCACAGACTCCTCCTTAGTCAAATAGCCCCATGGACCAGCCTCGAGCACTAACATRGTGGCTTCCCGCTCCATCGGGTCACAGCCCTGACCTGCTGGTCTGTTTGGCTGCTGTTTCCCAGAGCGTGAAGCCAAATGAAGCAAATTGCTGCTCAGTGCTGCCCAGCACCTATACCTGAAACTGGGACTAGAGCTGAAGTGCATTTTGGAACAAGCTCCTTGGCTTCGAGACCTGTGGCAGTTCTTCTAGCCAAGGTTTAGCCACCAAGGGGAAACACAACATACTTAAATGTTGGCCATTTATTATACAAGTCCCAGTTCTCTCACCAGCAATAGGTGTGGTTTGGAAACGCAGATGCCTGAACCATGGCTTAGTGTTTTGTCAGCCCTGCCATACCCCTCCTCCTCCTAATAATATGGGCAGGTTGGGATTAGCAGGGTTGATTTATGTCTGTCAAAAAAAGAAAAACCTCATAAAGGAAATGTAATAGAATTAAAACATATTTCAAACAATCTAAGTGGCTGAGTGTATGTAAGTGTGGGCTTATGTGCATGTTGGGTGCGGCTCTTGTTTTGAACGTGAAGCACTGAGCGTGTTACTCAACGGGAGGTGATCCTTTTTTTTCTTTTTTTCTGCTTTCATAAGCACTAAGTCCAAGCCAAGTTTAGGAGCCCCTTGCACAAGACCAGCACACCGCCTGTAACCTCTTGTCTTAGGGAATCCAGGCTCAGCCATTGGGACCCTGTTAGCAATGGTGGTGGGGGGGGTGGTCAGTAATGTGTTTTGGAAAAGAAAAAAAACAAATACAGATGAAATTAATGACTTCATTACTAAGTAGCTGAATCACCCACTTGGTAGGCAAAGGTACTGTATAATGCAGCATACAGATGCTTCATGCAGAGAGCCAGAACATCCCCAGAACGCCTCTGTACTTGGCAAAGAGCCAGCAGAAACCCCAGGAAATCTGGGGCTGCAGCCTCTTGGGGCTGTCAGTGCTTTGCTACAGTTTCCCTGCGGCCAAAAGCTCACCTGTGAAGCCTCATCTGAAAGTCAGACTTGTGGGTATTAACCAATTCCTAATTTTGCAGTCAAGGCTGAAATACCTAAAGGTTTTAAGTCCCAATGGCTATAGACACTAATAAAATCTTGGAGAGTCAGYAGGCATTATCCAGCTAGACTTTGTGGTGCTAATTTTAAGCAACCAAGCCTCACCTATATGTCTGTGGAGGCTTAGGGCCATATGGACAAGTAAGTCTCCCTGGCAGCTTCTCTGGATCATGACTAACCAAAGCCAATTGCAACCTGGGGGTGTGATAAGCTTATGAGCTATGGTATATTTGGGCCTCTGCATCACCTTTACTTCCCAGGAGCTAGACTGGCAGCCCCAAAGGAGATTAGCAGCTTTGGTTCTCTTGGTGACTCAGGGACGAGCCCTACGACTGGCTGAAGCCACTGCCATCAGCAGCAGGACACACGGCTGCCCACCTCACCTGGGGGCTGTGGCATCCTGACGATGAAGCAGGGAGTCTTGCATCACGTGTGTAAAGGGCTCAGCAGCACAAGTGAAGCTCCCTGGGAGCAGGGAGATGGTCGTGCAGCAGCACGGTCTTGGCACATCAATGCACATAGCTTAAAGAAGGGCCTCCAGGGTGGGAAGACCCTAGGGAGCAGCATCTGTAGAACCCAGAGTGGTGTGTCAGCTTTGCACTGGAGCTCCTGGGCTGCAGCTTGCAGCCAAGGGGAAAACGCTGTGAGCAGAGGAAGGAGAGAGCGTTTGCACCAAGGACTGCTCATCCCTCCTGCTTCAGCTCAGCCTGGGCTGGGCAGAGCCACGCTGGGCAGAGCCATTCCCATTT